GAGAGCCATGTCCTGGAGAAATGCGTGCTATAGGAAAGGTGGCAGATGCTCACATGAGGATGTGAGAGTGGGTTCGGGTTGTCTCAGAACTATTTTCCCATTGGACATTTCTGAGAATGAAGATGGGCAACCTGGGGCTCCAGAGACATGGAACAGATTCATAGACATTTAGAATCTCAGAAACTTAGATGTCTTATTACTAATGGACTAGAAACATCTTAAAATGATGGAAGGCATTAGCAGTAAAGCTTGTTGGTGGTGCGTTGTTGTGAAGTGTCAGTAAGTCAGTTCTGACTCATCCACACAACAGAGTGAAGCATTGCTGATCCTGAGCCAGCCTCACAATTGTCACGTATGAGCCCATTGTTGCTGGTGGTGTCAGTGCATCTCATTGTGCGTGGGAGCTCTTACTCTTTTTCACTCTGACTCTCTACTTTATTAAGAAAGACATTCTCCTCCAGGGACTGGTCCCTCCTGATATTAGGTCCAAAGTAACAGAGACAAAGTCTTACCATCCTCGCATCTAGGGAGCATTCTGGCCGTACTTCTTTCAAGACAGATTTGTTTGTTCTTTTGGCAGTCCACATTTCTTTCAGTATTTTTCACTAGCACCATAATCTAAGTGTATTGATTCTTCTACAGTCTTCCTCATTCACTCTCCAACTTGCCCATGCCATGACTTGTCATACTTAAAGTTCCACTTCCTGTTAGCTGGACAACTGGCATGGAGTTACTTAACCACTGAGCGTGTTTCTCCTTCATGAAATGGACCTGCTGTTGAGTGCTGTCAAGATGCTTCTGACTCGTAGTGACTTTGTATAGAGTTTCCAAGGAGTGCTTGGTGGCTTTGAACCACCAACCTTTTGGTTGGCAGTTCAATACTTAATCCTACAGCACCACACCAGAACTCCTTAAGTAGATGTGTTGTTATTAGGTGCCATCGAGTCAGCACCGACTCATAGTGACCTTATGCACAGTAGAATGAAACAATGTCCGATCCTGGGCCAACCTCACTACTGTTGCCACACTTGAGTCCATCAATTCTGCTCCTGGCCAATCCATCTCGTTGGGGGTCTTCCTCTTTTTCTCTGACCCTCCATCTTACCATGGTGGTAAAGAAATATGAGTTTAACCTTTCCTAGGATAGTTAGGGTTGCCATGAGTAGGAAGCGACTTGACAGTAACCCACCCCCCTCCCCCCCATAGCTGCTGTGACCTACAAGGGAGCTAGAACATTTAAAGGACCTGACATTGCATCTGGTCATTGGTGAGCTCTCCAGAAATCCTTATTTCTGGGTCATAGCAGAGTCATAGAATGTCAGAGATCATCTGGTAATTCCTGTTGTTGCTAAGTGCTTTTGAGTCAGTTCTGACTCGTAGCAACACATAGGAAACTCATAGAGTTTCCGAGGAGGAGTGGCTGGTGGATTTGAACTGTTGATCTCCCAGTTAGCAGTCAGCAGCAGAGAAATAAGCATAAGGAATTGACTCCATATGTCCAGCTTCTCCTTCCCTCCAGAAGCCCAGCCATTGCTCCCTAGCCGAGGGCATGGGCACTTAACCCATGAGGAAGTTCTGGATCCCATCTCCTCCCGATCTCCAAGATTGAGTACACCATCTTTTTGCTTCTGCAGACATGCTCACTGAGAGCATCAAGTCCAGCTGTCTCTTGGCTAGGCTGAGGAGAGCGGGGTGGCAACCTCCGTCCTCTTGTTTTGGTTTTTAGTCAGAACGTGATTCTGGAAAGTTATATTGGGAGATTTGCATGAGGTTCTCAATGGGAGTAGAGATGGTGGGAACAGATTGCCACTAGGGGCCTGAGGTTGGGATAATCACAGGCTTAGACTTGCCATTCTCAGACCCATCCCCTGGACCCCTGGAGCATCAGAGATGGAGAACTAGATCATCCCTTATTTTATCACTGGGGAAACTTAGGGCCAAACCACACAACCAGCTGGTGATGGAAGTGAGATGGGAAAGTCATTTTCTTAAGCCTTTCTCACACTCCCCTGTCTCCAGCCAATTAGGCCCAGATCTCTAACACCACTTCGGCTGCAGGTTCCGCTCTGGAAAGATGGAGAGAGGCCGGACTTCAGAACCCAGCAATGACTCCCAGAGATGGAGAGACAACCTCCTAAAGTCTGGGGTGGTAAGGTGAGCAGGCCAGGCACCCCCTTTTCTAAAGTGCACTGCTCCTACTGAGACGTCTGGTGTGGTGCTGTAGGATAAGCGCAGGACCACAAGGTCGGTGGTTCAGACTCACCAGTCGCTCCTTGGAAACCCTATGAGTCTCGAGGCACTTAACAACAACTACGGAGTCCTGGTATGGCGCTGTGGGTTAATGCGCCAGACAGCAAAGACGTTTGAACTGCAAGCTTGGTGGTTCAAGCTCACCAGTCGCTCCTTGGAAACCCTATGCAGGGTCACTATGTGTAGGAACCCACTCGATGGCACTTAACAACAACAACAACAGCTCCTACTGGAAGTTGGATGGCTAGGTGGAGTGTGCAGACTGCCTTCTCTCCCTGGTTCCACATCCTGGTTCCATCCACCCATATGACCATGGCCTTCAGTGGCTTCTTCTTCCTCTGGGGGCCTCAATTTCTGTACCAATGGGATGCAGAGGGCTTCCTGCCCTCCTCAGGGCTGAGCGAGTTGGAATAGCACCCACAATGTGAAGCCCCACAAACTCAGTCAATGCAGCCTCTGGAGGGGTCTACCTTGGCCCCCAGAAGGGGATGGAGTTGAGGGCGACTTGAATGAAACCTCTAGCTAATGCTTTTTATTACAAGCATTAATCCTGCAAAGCCGACTGGAAATAATGTTTATCTTTTCACAGTTTAATTTCCCAGACCCTAAGCCTGGGATCAGGGAGGGCTACCTGAGCTCTCCTGGGATGGTGGGGTGGTAGCAGCTGTTACCCAAAAGAAGGGTGGGAGGGGAAGGTGAATTATGGAGGGTGGGCCCTGGTGGAAATGGGGGTCCTTCCAGACCACGCATTCTGTGTGACCCTGACTCAGTCCCCTGCCCTTCATTTGATCTGCTCCTTCATCTGAGGAAGAAGCTTGTGTTTTTGTAATCCATGATTTCTAAAGCCCCTGGACTCACACCAGCTGCTCCTCAGAAACCCTATATATACAGGGTCACTGTGAGTCAGAACCAGCTCCACGGCACTTAACAACATCAATCAAGTCCCTTTGGAAGAAGCCCTAGTGGTGACGTGCAGCTGCTAACAGAGACATGGGTGATTGGAACCCACCAGCCATTTGTGGGAGAAAAATGTGGCAATCTGCTTCTATAAAGATTATGCCCTTGGAAACCCTTTGTCCACAGGTCAGAATCCACTAAACACAATGGGTCTGTTTTTATTTTGAAAGCCTCTTCAGACTTTGCTACTTCTATGGAAAAGAAGATGGGGCCAAGCCTGGGGCATTCAAGCGAACTTTATTCCCTTCAGTTTCCAACCTCCTCAACTCCCTCCTTCATACTTCCCCCCACATGGTATTTTCCCTCATTATCACTCCATTCCAGGCCTTCCAGAGTTTTAAAATCCCCTCCTGAGGAGGCAGATCCTTCCAGCCCCAGACCTCAGAGTGGTCTTCCGACTTCTTCATTTGTTGCCACCCAGTCAGATGGAGCCTGAAGGTCAGGAGTCTAGAAATGGTAATGTGGCTCCCCAGAAATCCAGGAGCGGACCCCAGGTGCCCTGGTCAGCCCAGGAGCTCCACTTCCTCCTCCCTGACAGAGGAAGAGAGAATGGAGAAAACTGGAACCAGAAGGCCAGGGGCAGGAAGGTAGCCAGCTCCAAGCTCTAGCACTGTGGAGGTCTCTCTAACTTTCACAGCCAAATACCAGCAGCCCTGTGTCCTAGGCTGCCTCTGTTCAGAAGGAGGAAACACCTTTCTGGACCTTGTACCGGAAGTGCTCCCTGACACTTCTTATTAAACACGAGTCCCCTCTTGCCAGATCCAGATCCAGATCCAGCAAGCTACATGTGGCCTGCTTCACTATTGAGCCCCATGTGGCAGGCACTGTGGTCCCAGCAAAATGCCAAAAGATGGCCAAAATGATTTCCTTCACCTCTGGTGGTGGTGGTGGTGGTGGTTATATGCTGTGCTGTGGAGTCAGTTTCGACCATAGCGACCCTGTACAGGGTTTCCGAGGCTATACATCTTCATGGGAGCAGAAAGCTTCATTTTTCTCCTGTGGAACAGGTGGTGGTTTTGAAAGGCTGATCTTGAGGTTTGCAGCCCAATTTGTAACCACTACACTAGAAGAAGTCCTTCACTTCTATCCCCCAATAAATTAATGACCCACGCCGAAACGTGGAAACATGAAGCTTTCAGACAAAACATCAGCCATCTCGCCAAACTCCCATCTCTGCAGCTGCCACCCATATGTACATTGCTCCCTTAAAACCAGCCTGGGAGTCAGCCTGGCCAGGCTTGTGGGTTAAGCAGCATTGGGGTAGCTAAGCTGCAGCATCCCCTTGCTGGTCTGCAGCCCTGGTTACCCTGTCCCCAGAACCCTGGCACAGACAGGCCACACAGAACGTGTTCTGTTCAATTACTTTTAAGGGCACAAACAGGTGGGGGAAAAAGACACACGTGGTCCTTTGGGGACCAGGGCAGTTACAAGCCATGAAGTGAGAGGATGTGGTGGGAAGTGAGGGAGAAGGAAGGCTGAGTGAGCAGGAGAGGGGGTGGCTTCAGATACCAGTTCACAAGGAGGGAAGGAGACTTGGTGTGGTCCATGGGCGGGGCAGGCTCTCCCCACTAGATCTTCCCCAAATTGCCCTGTCACCTTCATTGGATCTGATGAGGTGCCCGCTCTGCGTGCAAGTACAAGTACGACACTAGAAGAGTTTCTATGTGTGTGTCTATCCCTTAGGCGAGACTAGGGACCCTGGTCCATGGCGAGGTCTTGCAGCTGTTAGCCTGGAGAGGAGTTGGAGAAGCAGATTAATTTCTCTGAGTCTTCTCCAATCGGCAGTCATTGCGCTAACCTGCTGAGAGAGGAAAGGGTGATTAAAATCCCCAGGCCACTTTGTGAGGATTCTTAGGAACTCAGTGGCCAGCCTTGTCTCTTCCTAAGGGAAGCAAGGGGAACATTTGGATGCCATTATGTGTACATTTAAAAAACAGTCCAATTCAATTTCTAAATTGGCAGTTAATCCTAAGAGAAGAGCAGAGACTGTAACGGCTTGAGGCCACTTGATACTTGTGGAATGTACGTTTGGGAGGTAAAATTACTTTTAACCAGGACCTTAGCAGAAAGGAAACATCAGCTAGGTGTTTGGGGGTACCATTGACAGTCACCCCTGATTTGAAGTGAGCCCTTGGGCGTAAGTGTTCTGGGGTTGGCAGCACCAACTCTGAGCCTCCAGGTGTGCTAGATGAAGGGGCATTTCTACACTTTCCAGGCGTTTTTAGTAGGATGGTTGAGGGATGCAAAGTGGACTTAAACCTCAGGCTTCTCAGGAAATGCTAGATCGCTTGTCCTGCCCACCGGAACACCCTCCTGGGATCAACTGGGCTCCTCTGAAGAGCAGGTTGGGGCACAGGCGCTGGGAGGAGAGGGTAGTGTCCATCTGGGGCATTCTGTAAACACTAGACCAGGAGTCCAGGGAGCTAGCTTGTCTACCTCTTCAGTGACATTCTAAGTGATACTAGATAAGGTACTGGACCCCTCTGAGTTAGCTTTTAAATGAGGTCACTGGAACTTCTAAGTTTGCGTTTCAAGGAATGCTAATGAACAGTCTCTTGCTAGGAAAATGGCCACAGGTCTGAACTTGGGCGTGCCTGAGAGGCAAAGAAGATGTGACAGGGCAGGGCAGGGCAGGGCTGTGGGAGAGTGTTTTTTGGACAGCACGGTTGGGAGCCCACTACCTTCTGCTCCTGACGGGTACTGGCATTGCACCGCCGGCTCCTTCCGCTGCGGGCAGGGCGCACAATTCAGTGCCAGCCCCTGCAGGGCAAACGTAGGGTTTCCAACGGTTTTGATTATGTGAGGAGACTGGTCGCACGAGGAGTCTCTGGGGACCACAGGTCGCCTTCCTGAGTCTGGAGGCTGTCCGGGAATCAAGTGGCACTCAGGACTTCGTGTCCTGGGCCGTATTGGGAGTGCACCTTCGAAGGCGCTGGCCGCCGCTGTGTGCGCCAGCGACCAGATGCGTGGTTTTTCGCTGCACGCGTAGTGCATGGTCAGCATGGGGCCCCGGGGCTCTGCCCGGAGGAAATCTCCATCTCCCGGCCCGGGGGTCTCACTGAAGGAGAAGCGGGGGATCAGCAGGCTGCATTCCCGGCGCTCCAACTGGCGCTCTCGAGCTGCGGCGCAGGACGCGGGCAGCAAATGCGCGCCTGTAGGGAACTCCACCAGCCGATCCGTAGCTGGGGCCACTGTCTCCTCTTCTTCGGCCTCCTCTTCTTCCTCCTCCTCTTCTAGGTCTTCCAGGTCACTCAGCCGGAGCCCCCGGGCCTCTTGATTAGCAGTAAGGTCTGCTGGAAATCAGGAAAGAGTGAGAAAAGCCCTAGGCCCCAAGGGAAGGCTGGTGGAGTGCCCATCCCTGAGAAGCTTTTAGCAAGTGGAGCCTGGCACTGAAGGCACTCTTGGGCATACTTCACCAGACCAGCTAAGCCATCTCTGACACTGCTCCAAGGGGAAAGAATTCCTGCCCCTAGCCCACTCCTCACCATTCACGGACTTTTCTCCAGTACAACTCCAGTCTCCAGAACCGGGTCTCTGGTTTCTCAAATTTTTGTTTTGTTTTTAAACAACCAGAGATGTGGGTAGGGGTGAGGGGACTTCTTGCCTGAGTAGTTTTACCCAACTGAAGGGAGGTGAAGTGCCCACGGGTGTCTGGTGTTGTAATTTAACTCAGCAAATAGTCACTGAGTACCAATCAAGAGCCAGATGTCATTTAGGGACTCAGGTATTAGGTATTTAGAAAATACAGCTTTCCTATTTTTAGATAACCTTTAAGTGGGCTTTCTGATAGTGGTCGTATGACAGACTATTGTGACGGAGGAGTATCACTGGGAAGCCACTTTGGCTTGGAATGCCAGAAAAGGTCTTTCCTAGGTGACATGCTGAGGTTGATACTACACTTGATCTTAGCCAAAAGGTTGGGCAGTGTTTTGTTCTGTTGCACCTTAGGGTCCCTATGAGTCAATAGGGACTCTATGGCACCTAACAATAAAATGCTGAAGTTGAGAAACCAATCATGGTGGGGATTCTAGGCATAGAGTGTGGCCCAGGCAAAGGCCCTGAGGCATGCTGGGAATGCAGAATGCAAATGCTGGGCTAAACAACCAAACCAAATCTACTGCCTTCCAGTTCCTTCTGACTCCTAGTGGTAGAGTACAGCCGCCCCTTAGGGTTTCCAAGGGAGCTCCATGGCTCAATAGGATAAACACTAGACTTTGAAGCAGACGGTCAGTAGTTGGACCCTTCAGCCACTCTTTGGGAGAAAGAGGAGCCTTTCTGCTCCAGTAAAGATTTAACATCCTGGGAAACCTTATACAGGAACTGACTAGACTGCACATAACAACAGGTTTCCAAGGCTGTAAGTCTTCACTGAAGCAGACTGTCATATCTTTGTTTCTCACAGAGCAACTGGTGGGCTCCAACCACTGACCTTTTGGTTAGCACAACACTTTAACCACTGCGCCACCAGGGCTCCTCAAGGGGACATGTTCCAGAAACACTACCCCAGAGGATGGGTGTTTGGTGGAGTGTAGCACACATAGGGTGGAATGGCGGATGCCTTCAGTACCGTTGGCGTCCCTGTTTAGGCTGCCTGGTGACTCCTCAGCTCTGGTTTCCACCTTCCTCTCTTCTCCGCCTTTGTTCTTGGGTGCCCATGTCATCTTGTTCTCCTTCTTGAGGCGCCGGCGTGCGTTGGCGAACCAGGTGGACACCTGGGTGAGGGTCATCTTGGTGATGATGGCCAGCATGATCTTCTCACCTTTGGTGGGGTAGGGGTTCTTGCGGTGCTCATTCAGCCAGGCCTTGAGCGTGCTAGTGGTTTCCCGGGTAGCGTTCTTCCGGCGTCCAACGCCGCTCAACTCCACAGAGCCATAACTGGGGGGAAAACCCTGCTCACAGTCCTGGGGTTGGGACCCTGAGGTTGCAGGCAGGGGACAGTCTATGCCCTGGAAGTGTGACCCCTTTCCCCGTGTTCCGCCCACATCCACCTCACAGTTTGGTAGGGGAGCAGGAAGAACATGTGGTCCCACACCTTACCGGTCATATTGGTACTGCCCCAGACTGGACTCATAAGGATAATAAGCTCCCGATGGCGCCAGGCCAGATGCAAAGCTCCCAGTAGGCTCTTTGAATTCATACTGTGGATTCTAGAGGGGGAGAAAAAGGAAAACTTTGGGTTATATTTGGGGAAGGGAGAAGGTGGGACAGAGCAGAGGCTAAGGGTGTGGACTCTAGGAACAAATCTGGTTTAAATTCCCATACCACCACTCCCATAAGTTGTGTGACCTGGAACTTAGCTATTTAACCGCTCAGGACCTCAGTTTCCCCCTGGGGAAATGGGAATATTCATAGAGGCTATAACTTGTTGAGGGAGCCCTGGTGGCTGTGGGTTAAGCATTGGGATGCTAACTGAAAGGTTGGTGGTTCAAACCCACCAGCTGTTCCAAGGAGAACAATGTGGCAGTCTGCTTTTAAGGTCTACTTCCTTGGAACCTTCTGGAACAGCTAGCTCCCCTCTGTCCTACGGGGCTGCTGTGAGTTGGGGTTGATTGTATGGCAGTAGGTTTGTTTTCTACGTTGTTGAAAGGCACCCCAGCAGAATCTCCAGGGCAGAATGAACAGCAGTTAGGTATTGGTAATAGTAGGGTCACCCCTATTCCGGTTACTATTATTCCTGTTCCGCATCTTACCCTGTTTCCCCTTCCCCAGCTATCCCCTGGCCGTTTGTATCTTCGTAATGTTTGAAATTCTCTGGACCTCAGTTTCCTCATCTGCAAACTGACAATAGTGATATCTTACAGAGTAAATAGAAATATGTGTTTTAAACAGCTTGGTGTCCTAAAACTGTTAGTACTGTAAAATGTTTACTCCTCAACCCTGACAAACAATCTCAATCACTTCCTTTTTCCGGAGCGGTGTCCCTTCTAGGTTTCCCCTGATTATGTTACTAGATTTCCCCCGCTTCTGAGGCTAGCATCTGCAGGCACCCGCGCACCTGCTCTGGTGAGCAGACCCAGGCCCCACCCTGCGTACTCACCAGCGCCCCATACAGCGCAGATGGTTCCGGGCCGTAGGGAAGGTAGCCTGGGTAGCTCTGCGAGGCCGAAGAGGCCGCGTAAGGGGCTCCATAGATGCCCAGGGCGGCGCCTAGCTCCTGCCGTGCGCTGCCCAGCAGCCGGCTATTGTACGACGCGCAGCAAAGAGCGGCCGGCGTGGAGCCCGAGGCCACTTCAGGAACCGATCGCGGGGCGGACTCGCAGCAAGTGGCGCTGGGACTGGCAGACACCAGAAACTAGGGGGCGAGAAAGGGCGGGGGCATCGGAGGTCAGAGACCAGCACCTCCGGATGGATGTCCAGAGTCAGCGGCGATTATGGAACGGCAGAATCGCTTCCACATTAGCTAAATGCCACCATGTGCTGATCATTTTGCTAGATGCTAGGGCAGGATTGTTCCAAGACGCCATTTATCCAAACTGCCCTTCAAGATGTGCCCAAGCGCTCACTGAGGTTCCAGAGTCTGAAGGTGGGGTGTGGGATGTTCCAAAACCCGAATTAGAGATGTCAAACTCAGCCCGTTTCTACCACCCCAAGGTCCTATGCAAACAGAGCTTGAAGTTGGCTTTGCAGACCATCTTCATGCCCTCACGCTTGCTGTATTGATAGAGAATCGTGGACCAGAGAGTGTAAGAGACATGTCCAAGATCACACAGCAGGTTAGAGGCTGAGCTGGGACTGGAACCCATGAAACTATACGCCACTCTGGAGAGAGACTGGAGAGCAGTGGTAGGAGATGACCCAGGAAACCTGTATCACTGCAGGTTTCCACCCCGGTTTGGAAAACCGAGGCACCCAGAGGCAGAGCTCTTCGATTGGACAGAGACCACCACCAACAAAATGGTTAGGTGAATAACAGTCTGGACTGGGAGTTATTTTTGAGACTCTTCCAGACACGTATACACGGAGGGACATGACTGGAAAATCACTAAGATTCTACCCACCTTCCTAAAAACGCGGGGACAACGGTGCCCACGTTTCGGGCCACAGCTCGATTTTCCAGCGTGCACTGGGGGATCAGAACGTTCTAAGCCAGGGCTTGGGGATGTTGGAGGGGTTGGTGGTCTCTGTTCCCTCTAGGTGCTCGGGAGACACGTGTGAATGGATGGCGCCCAGGGACAGGTGAGAACACTGGGTACCCTCTTTATCCAGTCTAACCCCATCCCCCTCTTACCTGGGAAGCGCTGGTGTACGGGTGTCCGAAATGTGGGAAAGACATGGTGGCAGCCACTGGCCCGCCTCTCTCTTTCCTTCGGAGTTCCCTCCTCAGTTTTGAGGTTCGGCACCCCCAGTTGTGCAGCGCCTCCGTTCCTTATTCTGCTGCAGGTGCCCAGTGCCAGGTCTTCCCCTCGCTTGGCGCGGTTGGAAGTAGAGCCGCAGGCTGTTAGCTGCCAAGCGCGCTCCGGAAGGCACTCCTCTGGCCCGCGGGGTCCGGAAGACAGAGGGGCCCATGGATGGGCAGAGAGGAAGGAAGAGGATTCGGGTTCCCAAAGGCGCGCGGTGGCGCTGCGAGCTGAGGAGAGGCGCAGGGCTGTGCGGCTCCCGAGGTGTCCCAGTCCAAGGTGGCCTGAGACTCAACGTGACGTCACGGTAATCCCGGGTTGCCAGGCAGGACCCCTGACCCTAGGGCCCAGGGCCACCAAGAGTGCCAAGCGCAGCCAGTCCTCACGCGCGCGTCCTATCACCCACACTCACACTTGTTCTGGAAGGTTTGAAGGTTGTGCAGCTGGTGAGAAACGCCAAAGACCCTGACCCTCTCTGCTCCGCGTGATATCCTACCCAGTTTCGCCCCAAGCACGCGCGCGCACACGCTTACAATGTCTCCAAATTATCAGTAAGAAGTAGAAGGAACGCCTCCCTCTGGGCTGCGCAGGCCGCGAGCGCAGCGCACTCACCTCCTCCTCCTCACCTCCTCCCAAGCGGCCCGAGGAGGAAAGAGGCAACCGGGCTGCGAGGGAGGAGAGGAGAATACAAAAGAAGAGACAGGAGCAAAGATTGGAAAAGTGGGGGAGAAAAGCCAAGAGGGAGAAGGAGGAGGGGAGAGGAGAGGGATGTAGATTCCGAGGCGTGCGGGGGAGGAGAACTGAGGTGGGCGAAGGCTGGGCAGAGGCTGAACACTGGCAGGTGGAAAGCCCAGACTTTGGGTAGAAGACTTTAGAGCAGCTCCCCCCCACCGCCCCTGTGCCGCAGGAAAGTTTGTTCGCGTCCCAAGCCAGGCTCTGGTTGGAGCAGCGCCGGGCAGCGTCTATGGGCCGTCTTTGTCCTCAGGCATCTGACTCTTCCCTCGGTCTCCCAGGACTCAGGCTAGATTCCGGTTCTCCGAGTCCTGGCTTTTGCCCGGGCCTTGACCCTGGGACTTCTCTGCAGCTGTGTGACCCTCCTATAGGTCAAACGATGCTTCTGGAGGCCTAGCTGCTCTCCCCTGACGTGGCCTGGAAATGCGCCTAGCCTGACTCGTGGCATTTACAGGCCTGGTCATCGCCCTCCGAGGCTAGGTGTCCTGCTTCACGCACGCAGCCCTGAATGTCAGCTTTGAGCAGGGTAGACTAAGACGGCGCCTAGGCCGGGGTGCAGGTGCTGCGCTCCGCTGGGGGTGGCGCTGGCGAGCTGCGGTGGAACGCGCCGGGAGGGGAGGGCCGACCTGTCCCAGAGCTCCGGCTCGGACTCAAGACTGGGCCCAGCGGTTTGACCAAACTCCCCAAACCTATCCCAGAAGTTCTTATAGGAGCACCGACATGAGGGAAGGCTCCTCGGCGCCTAGGAGGGGAGTTTGTCATCTCGGCTTGTCCCGCGGGACGGACAGACGGGACGGACAGACGGACGCCAGCTTCAGGATAATGCAGATTCTGCACACTTGAAGGTGTAACCTCCAGGCTTGGCACCGCCTTTCTGAGGGCCTACAACCCTTTCGGAGCGAAAAGGGAGGCGGGTCTGGCAGAGGTGCTTCCTAGGTCTGGATGGGATGTCTTTTTACTTACTAGGGTCATCAAGAGTTACGGATTACAGAACGCCTCCCAGGCACTCAGTGCACGCAGCCAGGGTCTGGGGAACTGGTTCAAGGGCCCAGTGTTGTTTTTCTAGTTGAAATGCAAGAACTTGTGATCCTGAGGGTAAGAAAAACCGGGGGTTCCGTCCGTGGTTCCCGAGATGCCAGGAGGAAGCAAGATCTGGGGCCCTGGCGGGTGGATGCCCTCTTTTCTCCCTTCCCTGGCAAGATTGCCCAATAATCAAGGTAAGCACTGGCTTACTTGTGCTTAGTAAACCCATGCCTACTTTGCTTACTGGGCACTCCGTCCCTGTCAGGGATTGTACACTGGAAAAGAAGCTGTGATTCTGTAGGAATATGCTGTGGGGTTGGAAGAGAGACAGATAAAAAAAAAAGGGAATCTGTGCACTACAGATTAGTAAGGAAGAACAAGTAAGCCTGTGCTTACCTTGCTTATTGGATAATCAGACACAACAGTCATCGGGTTTTGCTCTGGGCACCTTGCAGAGGGTCCATGGGCCCAGTAGCCTATCGCCTCTTCAGAACAATTTATCTGCTTATTTTCCTTCTTTTTTGTTTTTGTGTTTTTTTTTTCCTGAAGAATACGTAAGTAGGGAGCTTAATGCACAAACCGCAGATGCCACCAACTAAGAGATCACAGACAGGAGGACACGCTCCAGCTCCACTCGAAATGCCAACAAATGCAGTAAGGCTTTTCTGGTTGCTGCTGCTGCTGAGAACCCTGGAGTCCAAGGCCCAGGACTCCTAGTTAGGAAAAGAATTATCAGCATCTCCAGATTGATTTAGTGATCAAAATTCGGGCAATAAAGAGATCCCTTGATTTTTCAAAATGCACTTTGGGGCCATCCACACATTTGCAGCTTAGATATGTTTAAGCTATTCATTTAAAGTAGGAATTGGAGAGTATTCATTCAATTAATCCCGTGGGGAAGATTACTGCTAATTAATTAATTGCAAACATTTCCACAGGGAAGCTATGTCAATTGTAAAGTAATAAAATTAGATAGCCGAAATACTTACTCAGCGACTTTGATTGCCTATTCATTCCAAAGAAGACTTTATTTTTAATGACAGAAAAATGGGGATTCAGGTGGGGGAAAGCATTAGCTTTGTCCCCTGGAGATCTGGTTGCTAAGGAGAAACTACCATATAGGATTGATTAATTTAGGCTGATTTATAAGAGTCTGTGATATCAATGCCGTGTGAAGGCCTCCAGGTTGACCCCTTTTCTATGCACTCTGGGATTAGAGTAAAGCAACAAGATTCTCAAAAATAGAAAAGAGGATAAAGAAGTGCAGGAAGTAATTTGGACAATATCACTATTGATATCTCAGAAAAAGGAAACAAACAGAAAAGCAGGATTTACAGGAAGGCACTTGTTCTTGTCTATTATCTTAGTTGCTTTATGGTTTTGTATCAGAATATCTTCCAGGGAGGAAGGCCTGCCATTTCCCCCCTGAATTTCCAGTTTTGGGAGACTTTGATTAAACACTTTCTTCCCAGGGAGAGGCTAAGCCCACTGTGAATTTACCTTGTGCCACAGACTTGTGGCTCTCACTCTCCTGATTCCTTAAAAATGATGATGATGAAATGTACCTACTGTTCCTGTGATACGAGGATCCTCAGGACAAAGCCAGCGGGTTGAATCACTATCGGCATCTGTCTGGCAGAAACCTCAAGTGACAAGAATCAGATTTCTGGCAGGTCTAATTCAGGGGAGCTGCAGAGGATCTCCTGGGGTCCTCCAGACAGCTCATAGGCACCCACTTCTGCTGCCCAGGGCTCAGGGTTCCACCATCCTCTCTTCAGTGCTTTGTTCAGCACTGATTAATGTAGTCATGAAAAATGCTCAAATGTCTGTGTCTGCATACAGAACTTTACTGAAGCAAATTGACGTGAATAAACCAATCAAATACAGATATCCACACTTATATCTGAAGGAACAGATACAACTGAGATAGAGGCTTCTGTTGTATTGTCCAATGTGGCCTAATGGTTCTTCTAGCTGCCCATTAAAACAAATCAATAAAAGGAAACAGTCTAAAGCCTCTTTGGTTCTCTAATTCACTGTGTTGTGTTTTGACGTTGGTGCTGCTTTGCTCTAAAAGTGTTGATAGGAGGCGCATTTGACAATGACCTTGAATGTATGTGGACTCACCTCCCAACCTCCCCAAAAGAAAAAAACAACAACAATCATATGGCATTAACTTTGTGTAAAAAATATTCATCATTTCCTAATGATACATAAATGCAAAAATGACAAATCAACTTCCAATGTCTGAAATCACAGATGGAATGTGTCTTATTATGGGAATAATGACATAGTTGAAATGTGCTAAGTTATATATTTTTCAACACAGTTTTTTTAGTGACTGTTTTTGAACTGAGAAGAATGAAATTTCCACAAGTCTATGCATGAATGAACAAGTGCATCTGGACAGATACATCTATAATTTATACTGATCAGTCACTGCTGGTCTCACCGAGGAAAGGCGACATGAACACTAATTGTTTTGACGGAAGTAGTGTGCGTGGCTTCTGTTTGTGGAGTACGGTCAGCCTCTGCCTTGCCTGAGTACGTAGTATCAGCAGCAATTCTGGCATCAGGAGGGGAAATAAAAAGGCAATAATTCCCAGATGAGATTGTTGATGTTGATTGTCAGGAAGGTGACAACTAGAAATGCAGAATTAACTTCTTTGGAATTAAGTCAGAAATGAGGTTGAATGCCACTTCCCAACACTGTACCTGAGTTTACAGCTTCCTTAAACACCTTTATTGCTTTTATTTAAGGCTCAGGATAAAGATATAGAGACTTGGAAAGGCCAGGAACATGCCCTAAGTCACAGAGCCAACCAAATGGCAGAGGAGGGACCAGCATTCAGAACCCCTGACTTCCGGTTCTTTCACAGGACCTTATTTCAGACACAGATAAAGGTCGACATGGTCAGGAGATGTTGCTAACTCTAAATCCACACTTGCAAACACCCAAATTCAGGTTCTCTATCACATACTTTATCCAACCCTATTTTATGAAAGAGTTTATGTAATCATTTGGGAGTTTTAGGAACTGGATGCAGTTCGTTAATTACAATGGCAAGGAACAAGCAAAGCTAGCGGCAACTGGTAAATACAATAAAACAAACACCAGCAACCTCTTAAAAATCCAACCCAGATCATGTCTGTAGGTATCAGAGCTCTCAGAATTCAGTTA